GGGCAAGGAGAGTGCTCCACAGCACCTGATCTGTTCTCAAAGCTCTACTAAGGATGGACAGTCTGGGTCTGCGGTCTCACTTTTATGAGACACAGTCATGGACAGGAGACGCCAGTGACTGGCCTGGGGCCCACAGCAACTCCTTGGAGGATAAGTGCTCTCCAGGCTCTACAGCCCACTGGGTGACTGCTCATGGCCACCTCTTAAAGAGGAGAGAAGGGGGGCTGTGGCTCTGTTTACAGACAAGAAAACTGAGGCACAGACTGGCCCTCACTCATTTAAGCCCCATACTTTGCTAGGCCCAGACAGATCCCCAAGGAGGCCAGGGAGTTGTCCTGTAAGCAGCTGTGGTTCATGAACTCTAGTAGAAGGGCTAGGATGGGCAGGCCCTCGTGGGGCAGGCATGACAGAGGAGGGTGAGCGTGCAGATGCAAGGGGAGCTCACTGCTTTCTGGGATCTGCAAGCCCACCCCCTTACAGGCTGGAGGCAAGATCTTTAGAGAGGAGGCTAAGGATAAGCAGGCCCCAGAGAGTCCCCCAAAGACACAGCTAGGTGAGGCAGCTGGGTGAGAAGTGAGGGGGCAAAAGGAACAGAGACGCCAGAGTCATAAAGTAGATCAGACTCAGAGGGGGTAGCCAGGGGAACCCAGCACTCTGCCCGGGCTTCCTCTGGAGCTGGCAAGGCCAGACCAGGTGCCGGGTGGGGAGACGGCACAGTCTCAAGAACGCTGCACGTGGGGCACCACACAAATGGGACAAGGGTGTACATGTGGTCCACACAAGGAGGGCTTGGGGTCCAGAGGACATTAGGAGAATCCCCTCAGGAGGCATGCACTCCACCTGACCTGGGTGCTGGAAGCCTCCCCAGGACCCCAGGAGTAGCACCATAATATACAGCTGTGGGGGAGGCAGAAGCGTGATGCCCCCTGCCCCCCGCCATCCAGGCTGGCTGTCTGGGGCTGGCTTGGGGGCCATGGGGCTGGGTGTGTGTGCCCAGACTGGCTGTCCTCATTTGGTGTCCTCTGTGTCCCCTCAGGCCACAGCGGAGACAGTGTACGACATCCTGTCCCCAGCAGCGCCCATCCCCCGCTCACTGCAGGACAAGCGCTCTGTGCGAAGGCTACGAAAGGGCCACCAGCCTGCTGACCTCCGGGAGGGTGTGGTGAAGGCCTACGACACAGTTCGAGAGGTGATGAGGCCCTGCCCTCCTTCCAGTCCCACACCCACCTCCCCACCCAAACCCCTGCACTGACCTCCGACTTCCACAGGGCATCCTGGACACTGCTCAGACCATCTGTGATGTGGCATCTCGGGGCCATGAGCAGAAGGGGCTTACAGGCGCTGTGGGGGGCGTGATCCGCCAGCTGCCCCCAACCGTGGTGAAGCCCCTCATTCTGGCCACGGAGGCCACGTCCAGTCTACTTGGGGGGATGCGAAACCAGATTCTTCCTGATGCACACAAGGACCACACTCTCAAGTGGCGTTCGGATGAAGGCCAGGACTGAGCACCAGGAGCCCAGGACCCAAGGCACTGCTGCCCGCCTCGCCCAGCCAGCCCCAGTGGCATCATGGCTCGTGCGCCTCCCCAGAGCTTTGGCCTACAGCTGGGTGGGCCCTCAGGGGAAGGACCTGGAAGGACCCCGTCTGGCCTACCCTGCCAATCGCTGTGAGAATGAGGCCTCCCTGCCAAGGGCCTCAGCCCCATCTCTGCACTTTTCTTCTGGGGAGAAAAGACACTGCCTCCACTGCTACCTGGGCCCACACTGCCGCCTTGTCCCAGGCGGAGGCTTTTGGACCCTCAGACCCCAACCCCACTCAGCCGAGTGTCTCTGTGTCTGGGGGAGGTGGGGGGCAGACACTGTGGTTCAATGTATTTCTAAGCTCCTTGAGCGTGTGGGTCAGTGTCTGCATGGAGTGTAGAATAAACTGTGCCCACCGCCAGCCCCCTTGTCCTGTGTACCTGTGCTGCCCCGGCCTCCACCTTAACCACATCCCACCCATGTGCCCAGCACCTCTGGTGTTACCACCAGGGGTCACTGCACCCACCAGCAGGTTCAAGCTGGCCTCCAGCTACCTGCCCACCCTGTACTCCTTCCCCTGGCTGCCCTGTCTCTGCTCTGTGCTCCTGGCCCTAGTCTACTGTGGCAGGAGCTGAGTGAACTGGGAGAGGAGGAGGCCTGGAGCTGACTTCACCCCCCACAATGTTTCTTGGCTCTGTCCCTGCAAAGCCCAGGATCCAGCCTTACCTGGGGCCAGATGTGAGGGGACAGCTAAGAGGAATCTGGACCAGAGCAGAGGGTTGGGCTGTGGAGTGCCCCAAGAAGGTTCAGACCCTGACCATGTGGTCTGAGGCTGTGCCCTTGGTTTCTGAGCTTTGGGTCCCTCCTGGTAATTCCTACCTGGGATCTGGAGGGTCAGTCCAGGCCATTCCTGGAAGGCTGCCTGCTGCCTGCCCCCCACCAGAGGCTGCTCCTGCCACCTGTAGCAGAAGGCTTTTCAGGTGACTAGAGCCTCTGCCCTGGGGTCCCAGCGCCAAGGTACTAGATGGGGAGGGTGCTGGGGGTAGCACTTGCTAGCAGGGGTCAGGCATTTGCACATAGGGGGTAGGGAAATGCCCGTTGTAAAGCACCCCCCCCCCATTACACACACACACACATAACCTGTTCCTTCAGAACAAGGGACTAATCTGTTCATCCCCCACCCCATCTTGTTCCTCAGTAGCACTGCACTGAAACAGGTAGGCCTGTGGGGAAACAGGCTCAGGTTAAGAGGCAAGACTTAGAGAACCCTCACCTGCTGGGGTCATCGGCAGACCTCTTCCCCCTCCCCCAATCCCCTCTGTGTCCTTGCTGTCCCCTTTGGGCACCAAATAAACAGCAAGAGTTTTCCCGGTGGATCCTGGGGTCCTGGCTGCCCAGGGTTGGTCACCTGGGGCAATAAGCCAAACAGAGAGAGGGGGAGTGGAAGAAGACAGACTGCAGGTGGCTGGGGTCTGATGCTACCAGAAGGAAACATATGGAGGCCCAGCCTTATGCTTCCTAGAAGTGCCCCACCCTGCCTGGGCACAGTCCAGGGTTTCATGCCCTTCGAACCACACTTGTGATCGGTATTGACAAGCAGCAGGATAATCATTAACCACCACCAGGGGCTGGGCCAACGGCTCAAAAGGCACTGGGCCCAGGGCGTCCCCGCTTCCTCCTTGTGCCCAGAGGGCCAGCCAGGTGCCCAGGTAAGAACCTGCCCAGACAGTCAGACCCCCGCAGCCCCCCTGCCTCAGGGCTCTCCTGAGCCTGGCCACCTGCAACAGGGACCCCAGCCCTTCTGACAGGGAAAGGAAAGGGCCGAGGCAGCCGCTGGGTAACCCAAGCAAGTCCCTTCCAGCCCGGGGCCTCCATTTCCACCTGTGAGATGAAGGAGCTGGGACTCCTGCTTGGGGGGCCACCACCGCTGCCTCCACCAAGTTTGGTGCTTGGCCTTGCCTGGTGTCTTTGGGAGGGCCTTCTGGGCTTTGGAAGGGGGGAGGTGTCACCTGCTCTGGTGTCTTCATTCACAGGCCTGTCCTCCCGGGCAAAGGACTCCTGCCCAGGGACCTCCCATCCCGCCTTGACTGCATCCCAAGAGGAAGGAGGCCACTTCAGAGAAGCTGCCAGACAGAAACAAACCTCACGGCCCTGCTCTGTGACCTTGGGCAGCCTCCTTTGCCTCTCTGGGCATTTCCACTGCCAGGAGAGGAAGGCATGGCCCAAGTCTACTCTCGAAGCTCAGAATCCTAGGTCCCCTTCCTTTCCAGATGCATGGGTTCTCTAAAGTGTCCCCTTGGTGGGTAGGACTGGCATTGGAGCCTGTCCCTGAAGCCTCTTGAGCCAGATCCTATCTGTGGGATGGGAGGGTAGGTGAGAACACACTTTGCAGGAGAAAAGTCTGCTCCCTCGGGGGTCCTGAGCCAGCTCAGGGACCAGAAGCAGAAGTCCCTTCCACTCCCCACAGCAGGAAGGGAACCAAAGGTTGAAGGGAGGGTGGCTTCCCACCAGTCAAGGCCAGAGTGCAGGACAAGCCCATATTTGCATGTGAGGAAGCAGCAGCCACTCAGAGAGGTTAAGCCAAGTGCTCAAGGTCACTCAGCTCTCAGACCCCTGCTGGCTCTCAGGCCACAGAGGTGCTAAGTGTTCCTCCAGATGGCGGTTGCTGACAGCCCTGTTCTTAGCACTCTGCCAGCAGGTTTGTGTATCAGCATCTTTTCATGGTTCCTGTTCTCCCTCCCCCCATGGCTTTTTCTGTCCCTCTTTGCTCTGTTCCTTTCCAATCCTCTCTTGTTCCACATCTGCTGCTCTCCTGGCCTCTCTGCCTCACTCTCCTACTTTCTGTGTACCCCCCTCCACAGCCTCTGTCATGTCTCCAGCTCCTCATCTGGGGCCATCCTCGGGAATCTGAGTAGTGGAGTGGGGGGTGGGGGTCCCTGCCCTGGAGGCCGACCGATGCCCTGCCATCCCTTGCTGTCCCTCTGTCCTGTGTCTGCGGCAGGAAGGGTGGGCAAAGGGCAGAGGGTGGAGGCTGTGGTGGCCCAACCTGGGGCCCAGCTCTGGTTGGGAAAGAAAGGAGGAAAGAAGGAACTTGGGGACTGAGGGTGTGGGGGTGTCAGTGGGCAAAGGCTGCCCAGGAGCTGTAAATTGGAGCCACTCCCGGCTTTATGAGCAGAGCTGGGGCTGAGCCCGGACTTCACCCAGAGAAGGGCTGGTGTGGGACTCTGGGTGTGGGCCCTGGATGATAAGGAGCTTCAATAAAAAGACCATGGACCTCGAGGTGTTAGGACCCAGGAAGCCCAGATGGATGGGCATGAGGTCCTCCCAGACTTCTGCCCAAGGGGAGATACCAGGCAGGCAGGGCCAGGCCTCCAGTTGGTTCCTACCCCCTGTAACAGCAACTCCATGTGGAAGTGCCCACTGGTTCCAGTGGGGCTGCTGTTATCGGGGATGGGGACCTGTACCCACGGAGGAGGAGAGGTAGCTGCCACCCAGCAGACCAGCAGGGACCTCCATGGCCATGCTCCCGGGCCCAGGATGGCAAAGGGTGGCGGGCTGTCAGCAGGCTGCTGAGATCGAGTGCACAGGGCTCTGACCTATGAATTGACAGCCAGTGCTCTCATCTCTCCTCTGGCTGCCAATTCCATAGGTCACAGGTATGTTCGCCTCAATGCCAGCCACCAGGATCTGTGGGGGAAGGGACGGGGCTGGGGTGTCCAGAGGGCAGTGAAGACTTGCTACCCCAGTGCAGCACTCAGGCCCAGCTCCCTCCTGTTTCATTCCTACCTTTCCTCCTGTGAGCCTGCACTGCTTTAGGTCCCCACCTAGACGGACTGTGTGTGACATGCCTCTGTGCTTTACCCATCCTGTTCCCTCTGCTTGGAACACCCTTCTAGCTTTTTTTTGCCAGGTTCACCCTTACTAACTGTTCCAAGATCTGCCCAAGCATTTGCTGCCTCCAGGAAGCCTTCCTGAAGCCCACCCACTTGATCCCTACTGCCCACCTGGGCACCCCCAGCACCCTGGGCTTCCCCAGAAGACTGAACTCCCCCGGTGTTTCCACCCTCCCCACCACCTGTGAGGTCAGCTTCCAGCCCACGCCGAGCCCAGGTGCGTGCTCAATAAATGTCTGAACAGATCCTAAGCCTTCATCTTGTACCCCAAGGAAGCACCACCAATGTCCTGTGTGGCCAAGAGGGGGCCAAGGGCCCTGGGCCCCAGTCTGTGTCCTCCCCCCACCCCCGGACAGGGACCCAGAGCTGCCTCCCGTCCACTCACCCCCTTTCTCTTCCTTCTCTCCTCCCACTCTCCTCTGTCTCTCTCTCTCTTTCTCTCTCCGCCAGTCCCCAACCCTGCAGGCTCCCCCAGCCCAGCTAGCAGTTGTGGTGGTAGCAGAGAAGGCACCTTAGGGGGCAGGACTCCGACCTAGCCCCCGCTCCAGCTTCCCACACAGCTTCACCCCTGCCTGGCTTTAATATGATGCAGTTCTGGAGACATCCTCATTGGAATAAGAAGGCTTCTGCTGCTAAAAGATAAACTTTTCAAACCTGGAAACACAGACCTAAGAATAAAGTTCGAATTGCTTAATAACAAGATCCGGTTCTTATGTCCTCTCTGTGCACTGGGCACTTGCACACATTGGTCACGTGGAATTAACTTGACAACCTTGCAAAGCAACTGTCATGAGCCTGTGCAGGAGATGAAGACAGACTCAGAGGGTGAGCATCTTGCTAAAGTCACAGAGTCGTTGAACCTTCCCTCTCCATGGGCTATGCTGCTGACAAGCCTCTGGCCACCCTCTCTGGCTCTTGGTGACGCTGTCACTTATCCCAGTGTGGCTGCTTTGCTCACGCTGCCCCAACGGCTCCGGATCCCTGGGCCCCCATCCCTATGGAGGCCCAGCTCAGATGTCCCTCTCATGACTGCTGGAGCCCACACCTTGGGCTCTGTGAGCCTCTCCCACCACCCCCTTATCTTATTTCTGCGGGGTTGAGAGCTCTGTTGCACTTATCTTATCCTTGTGCTGGTCTGAGACTCCTTGAGGGCAAAAGTCCACTATTCACTCATCCTGCCTGAGCCCCCCCACCCCTGCCACCGCCCCTGCATGGTAGGTGTTCAAGATACACCAGCCAAATGGCAAGGAGTTGAACTCTGACCCTCTTAGGGGTTGTCAGGCCCCAGGCCCAGAGTACAGGCTTAGGCTGGAAGGTGGTGGCAGGCAGCCACCCCTGCCTTGGGGGTCCACCTCCATTAGCCTCCGCAGAGCCTCTGCCAGCCCCAGCTCCAGCAGATCAGGTCCCAGGTCCCAAGCAAGGCAGACCCAGCTGCCTCTGACTGGCTCCTTTCTCTTCACTGACTGGTAGCCGCTTTTGGACAGGCCCTGGGCCTGTGCATGTCTTGCCTAGCCTAGGTCCTGCTCCCTTTCTCCTGAGCCCTCCAGGACAGGAGGGTTCCATCCTCTCCCTCGCTGGCTCCCAGGATGTTCTGTGACCTATCTCTTTTTTTTTTTTTTAAGATTTTTTAAAAAAAAGATTTTATTTATTTATTCATGAGAGACAGAGAGAGAGAGAGAGAGAGAGAGAGAGAGAGAGAGAGAGAGAGAGAGGCAGAAACACAGGCAGAGGAAGAAGCAGGCCCCCTGCGGGGAGCCCAACATGGGACTCCATCTGGATCTCGGGTCTCCAGGATCAGGCCCTGGGCTGCAGGCGGTGCTAAACCGCTGCGCCACCGGGCTGCCCTCTGTGACCTGCCACCGAGCCTAGCTATTTCCCGCCCAGCTCTGAACCACCCCACCCCACCCCCCCCCCCCCCGCAACACCCCGCCGCAGCCTTTTTGTTTCCTGTGGCCTCAGACTGGCACAGAGTAGTAGCGTCTTAATAAATGCATGCTTAAGGGCTGACCCACGGGGGGCGGGGGAGGGGGCAGGCGGGAGGCCCGCAGTAATTGCCGCCCGTGGGCTCCATCTCCAGCGCCACATATTTGTGAAACAACAGGATGCCCACCAGGCATCCTGAGAGTATATGCAAATCCACTGTTCAACAGCAGAGAAAGGCTAGGGGATGGAAGGGTCAGAGTACCGGCTTTGAGGCGGGAAGTCTCCCTTAGAGGGGAGTCTGAACTTAGCGTTTGCTGAGGTGAATAACGGGGAAAAGCGCAGAAAGGAGATGGGGCTGGGGGCTGCGGGCAGGGGTGGGGGGCCTGGGGGCCTGCTCTTCTGCCAACCTCACTCCCTGCGGCCACCACCAGGGGGCGCACTGGGCCGCATCCCTGCCTCCCGAACAGAGTGGGGCGCGTCCTCCCCATCCTCCTCCCCAGCCCTTCCGGGAGCAGGCCCCAGGCTGGTGAGGCTCTGTCTCTGTCTGTCTGTCATGAATAAATAAATAAAATCTAAAAAAAAAATTATAAAGTAAATTATAAAGTAAGAAAGAAAATCTCTGGGGGCGCCCGGGTGGGGCAGTCAATTAGGCATCGGACTCTTGATTTCAGCTCAGGTTAGGATCTGGGGGTCCTGGGACCAAGGGGGGGTTGGGGGACTCCTTGCTCAGCATGGAATTTGCTTAAAATTCTTTTTCTCCCTCTTCCTCTGCCCCAACCCCCCTGTGCACTCTTGCTCATTCTCTCTGAATAAATAAATAAATCTTGGGGCACCTGGGTGGCTCAGTGGTTGAGTGTCTGCCTTTGGTTCAGGTCATGATCCCAGTGTCCTGGGATCCAGTCCTGCATCTGGCTCCTCCTCGCAGGGAGCCTCCTTCTCCCTCTGCCTGTGTCTCTCTGCCTCTCTCACTCTGCGTCTCTTATGAATAAATTAGAGGCAGAGACACAGGCAGAGGGAGAAGCAGGCTCCATGCAGGGAGCCCAACGTGGGACTTCATTCCAGGAATCCAGGATCATGCCCTGAGCTAAAGGCAGACACTCAACGGCTGAGCCACCCAGGGGTCTCTCAATCAATCTTTTTTTTTTTTTTAACATTTTATTTATTTACTCATGAGAGACACACACACACACAGAGAGAGACGGAGACACAGGCAGAGGGAGAAGCAGGCTCCATGCAGGGCGCCTGATGCGCAGGACTTGATCCAGGCATTCCAGGATCATGCCCTGGGCCGAAAACAGGGGCCAAACCACTGAGCCACCCAGGGTGTCCCTCAATCAATCTTGAACAAAGAAAATCTCAGTGCTGCAGGGCCCCGTCACATGGTCTTTCCAGGGGACCTCTTCCCAGGTCAGCTCAATGGTACTCTTAATGATAATCATTTCATCACCCTTCCCTGCAGTTCACCACCCGTGTACACAGCCTAAAACAATATGTGTTCATTTTGCCTGCATTTGTTGTTGCTGTCGTTGTGTGTTTACCAGACAAGTGGAACCCTGCCCCTGGGTCCAGCTGTCCGCATAAGGTGGCTGGAGCCATCGTTGGTTCCCATTCATTCACTGCTGTGCGGCATTCCATTGTATGAAAACAGTTGGTTTCTCCATCGTTTTACTATAAATGGACTTTGGCACCGCTGGATGGTGCACGGGACAGCAAATAACACGGGACCAGGCTGTAGGGTGCCTGAAGGAGGAGCACCTAGTCACAGGCCTTTTGTTGTTGACAGTCCTGAAATCTTCAGAAAAGTTGCAAGAAAAGAGGAACACCCACATACCCTTCACCTGGATTCACCAATAGTTAACATTCTGCAACATTTACTTTCTCTTTCTCTTTCTCACACAGCTCAGGAATTTCTTCTGAACCATTTGAGAGAAGGTTACATGTGTTATGACCCTTCACCCTTAAATATTTCAACATGTATCCCTCCCCAAAATGACATCTCTTACACAACCACGATACAGTTACCAAATTTAGGCCTGGCAACAGTGAAGCAATTCTGTGATAAAACTGAACGTGCTACCCACTTAAAAAAATTAAGATTTTATTTATTTATTTGAGAGAAAGAATGAGTGCAACACTTGAGAGCAGAGGGAGGAGCAGAAGGAGAGGGAAAGAGAGAATCTCAATTGGACTCTGTGCCCAGCCTGGAGCCTGATGTGGGACTTGATCCCATGACCCTGAGGTCATAACCTGAGTCAAAAATCAAGAGTCAGATGCTTAACCGACTGAGCCACCCAGGTGTACCTGCCATCCACTTTCAAATGTCACCAGCTGTCCCAATAAACTGAGATCACACTTCACATGTGGTCGCCAGGTCCCTTCAGGCTTCTTAAGTCTGAAACTGTGCACAACCTTGCTACGTTTTTCATGATCTTGACATTTTTGAAAAAAAAGAAAAAAAAAAGATCTTGACATTTTCGAAGAGTACAGGACAGTTGTTTTGTAGTGTGTCCCTTAGCTTATTCCCTCCTCCCCCCAATTAAAATCAAATATGTCCATTATATCAAATTTGGGCAAGAGATAAAAATAAACAAAAATTGCCCCAGGTTCTATGATGCAAGCATAGCTCTGTAGACATTGCCTGTAATCACTCAAGGTAGCTGACTGTCATTCTATGCACTCTGTACATTAACTCATTTAAGCTGAGAGGTAGGTGCTTTCCTTAGAGCTTGCCCCAGAGACCTTAAGTCTTGCTGAAGATCACATGGTTGGTAGGACTCGAGTCTGTCCTTGTACTTGGCCCTTATGGTGCATTGCCTCTTGACAGTGGCTGGGTGTGAGTGGATGAGTCTCAAACTTCTATCAACTTTTGGAGCTGGATAAGTCTCTGTTGGGGGCCGTCCTGTGCATTGTGGAATGGTAAGCAGAATCCCTGACTCTGGCCTGCTACATGCCACCAATGCTCCCCAAGTTGAACCACCAAGAATGTCTCCAGATGCTGCCAGATGTTTCCTGCGGAGCAAAACTGCCTCTGGTTAAGAATTTCGCGTGTGGGGCACCTGGGCTCAGTCGGTTAAGCATCTGCCTTCAGCTCAGGTCATGATCCCTGGGTCCTAGGATTGAGCCCCACATCGGGCTCCCTTCTTAGTGGGGAGCCTGCTTCTTCTCCCTCTGCCCCTATACCCTCGTACCCTCATTAGTTTCTCTCTCAAGTAAAATTTTAAAAAAAAGAAGAAGAACAACCTCGTGTGTGTGTGTGTGTGTGTGTGTGTGTGTGTGTGTGTGTGTGTCAAGCCGGGCCACACTGTGTTCAGTTCAGTCTTACAATCTGCTTTTTCAGTTATTGATTCCACCATCACTTTAGTTTTCCTTCCTTTTCTTCTCATCAACAGTTCAATGGCCACCAGGTCCAGGTGCTTCCCATCAAATAAATCATCAATTGACCAAAAGACACATCCATTGCCACAATAGTCCTTCATGGCTGTGCAAAAAAATACCACAAACTTAGTGGCTTTAAACAACCTGCTCATGGTTCTGCAGGTCTGAAGTCCAGAGTCTCGGATGCTGAAATCTTGTGTTAGCCTGGCTGAGTTCTCAGCTGGAGGTTCAGGGGTGGAGGAAGTCTCCCTCTACCCTTATTCTTGTCCCTTGGCAGGGACTGGGCTTCCTTGCTGGTCGTCAACTCTAGATTCCTAGAGCCCACCACATTCCTTCCATGGGACCCCCTCTGTCTTTAAGCCAATAATGGCATGTCGAATTCTCCTTGTGCTTTGAATTTCT